TAAGGTTTGGATGAAAATGAATAGTAGAGCATATGGGGTTATTTGATCATGTTTGACACCGGACTTGATTTATGATGTGATGAACGAGACATCGGCAAAACGGTTGTGGGAAACACTTAATGAGAAGTATTTGACGAAGAGCATTGAGAATCGGCTTCATTTGAAGAATAGGTTTTACCAATTCAAAATGAAGAGGGGAGTTTCCATTAGAGAACATATTAATAACTTCACAAAATTGCTATCGGATATGGCTAATGTGGATATCATGGTAGAGGATGAAGATAAGGCGATGTTGTTGCTATGTTCATTACCAGAGGTTGATTTCGGTACCTTTATCCTTATGATGATCAATGGTAGAATCACTGTCAACTATAAGGAGGTGACCTCAGCATTGGTGAACTATGAGTTGAGGAAGAGTGATAGTGAACCCTTTGAGAAGGCATCAGGAGATGCATTAGCAGTGAGAGGCCGTAGTCCAAACCGCCATCCATTTAATCGCTCCAAGTCGAAGCAAGGAGGTGGCTATAAGAGTATTGGTAGGAATCAATATCGTTTTTGTAAAGATGATGGACATTGGAAGATCGACTGTCCAACGTTGAAGAACAAAGCCGGGAAGAATAAGGGGAAAGCCGTACAGGCTTCAGAGGTGAATGTTGCCAAGGTTAGTGGCGATAATTCAGATTCAGATTCTTTAGGCTACTCATGCTCAGCATTACCGTCAGTTTATTATGCCGACTCTACGGAGTGGATGTTGGATTCAGGTGCTATATACCATATTTGCCCTAGGAGGGATTGGTTCTCCAGCTTTAAGGAGTTGGAAAGAGGGGATATCGTGCTCATGGATAATGACAACGTATGTTCTATTGATGGTATTGGTACAGTTCGGATCCAGATGTGTGACGGGGTGACTCGGGAGCTAAAGTGAGTGAGATTCGTTCCTCAATTGATGAAGAATATCATTTCACTTGGAACTTTGGAAGCAGCTGGCTATCAGGTGATCATGGTGGTGATGCGAGGTATCAAGGAAAACAATATTTACTACTTGAAGGGTAAGACAGTAACATGGGGTCTGGCAGCTCCTATTACCACAGAGGAAGATACTACCAGCTTATGGCATATGAGATTGGGACACACTGGTGATAAGTCCCTGCAAGTATTGACGAAGCAGGGACTATTGAAGGGTGCAAAGACCTGCAAGATGGAGCTGTGTGAACATTGCATACTTAGAAAGAAGACAAAAGTAAAATTCGGCATCGCAATTCACAATACCCAAGGTATATTACATTATGTTCATACTGATGTTTGGGGTCCTTCTAAGAATACATCTTTTGGTAGGGACAATTATTTTATCACTTCCATTGATGATTATTCCAGAAGAAATTGGGTATACCCCATGAAGCATAAACATGAGGTCCTGGAAATATTTGTGGAGTGAAAGAAGAAAGTGGAGCTGCAGACAGGTAGAAAGGTGAAGGTACTCCGTTCGGATAATGGTGGTGAGTACAAGAGTGATCTGTTTCTGTAGTTTTGCCAGGATCGCGGCATTAGGCGACACTTCACAGTTAGGAAGACACCACAACAAAACGGGGTGACCGAGAGATTGAACTGTATCTTGTTGGAGAAGGTGCGTTGTATGCTCTCACAGAGTGGATTGGCTAGATCCTTTTAGGCCGAAGCGTTGGTTTATGCAAGCCATCTCGTGAATAGGTTGCCATGCACTGCGATACATGGAAAGACTCCTATGGAAAAATGGTCTGGTTCAGCGGCTAGCTTTGGATATTCGGGTGTCCATCTTACTATCATGTAAATAATGAGAAATTAAATCCGAGAGCTAGAAAAGCAATCTTCGTAGGCTTTAGAGATGGAGTTAAATACTTCAAGTTGTGAGATCCATAAGACAAGAAGATGATCATTAGCAGAGATGTCATGTTTGATGATTCTCACATGATGAGGTCTCAGATTCCTCAGCAGGTGGAGGAAGGCCAAACTAATAAGGTATCACAGTAGGTGGAGGATGATGTGATTCCACAGACTTCAGATAGCACTGTATCGATTGAGACTCCTACAGAAGTGACACTGAGAGGAGATGATATGACAGATGGGCATGTGGAGGATACAGTGGATGTTAAAACTTAGAAACATGGTCATATTCAGGAGTCCATTGCAGCTAATAGACGATATGATGATGTAATGGTTGCATATGCTTTATCAGCAGAAATCGTTGATGATTTGGTTCCTTCTACATTCAGGGAAGTAGAGTCAAGCTCTGATTCGATTAGGTGGAGGGAAGCTATGGAGGAAGAAATGCATTATCTTCATAAGAACGATACTTGGGAACTTTCAAAGCTACTGAAGGGTAAGAAGGCTATTGGATGCAAGTGGGTGTATGCAAAGAAAGAGGGATCTTTTATTAGGGACATTCGGTTCAAAGCCAGATTGGTTACCAAGGGATATGCACAGCTAGAGAGCGTTGATTACAACGAGGTATTCTCACCTATTGTGAAGCATTCATCGATTCGTATTTTATTGGCATTGGTGGCACAGCTAGATTTGGATTTAGTCCAAATGGATGTTAAGACAGCCTTTCTACATGGAGATTTAGAAGAGGAGATCTACATGACACAACTTATGGGGTTCAAAGCTGCAGGAAAGGAAGAAGTGGTATGCAAGCTGAAGAAGTCTATTTACGGATTGAAGCAATCGCCACGATAATAGTACAAAAGATTCGACGGCTTCATGATTGGCCGAGGGTACACGAGAAGCCCATATGATCCATGTGTTTACATGCACAAGCTACAGAATGGTGAGTATATTTATTTGTTGTTATATGTTGACGATATACTCATAGCTTTCAGGAATACTTCAGCTATTAGAAAGTTAAAAAAGGAGATGTCATCCGAATTTGAGATGAAGGACCTTGCAGAAGGAAAAAAGATATTGGGTATGGAGATTGAGAGAGACAGGGTGAAAGGGAGGTTAAAGGTGACACAGAGGAGTTACTTACAGAAGATACTAAAGAAATTCAGTTATAATGGCAATACCAAGACGGTGAGTACTCCATTAGCTCCCTACTTTAAGCTATCAGCTAAGATGTCACCTATTTAAGTTGAGGACTATGAATACATATCCAAAGTTCTATATGCTAATGTGGTGGATAGCTTGATGTATGCGATGGTGTGTACAAGGCCAGATTTATCACAGGTCGTAAGCATGGTATCTAGGTACATGCACGACCCCAGGAAGGGTCATTGGAAGACCGTGAAGTAGATTCTACGGTATATCAAAGGTACCGTGAATGTTGGTTTGGTATTCGAGAAGAATGGGAAGAATGGATAGGATTGTATTAGTTATGTGGACTCTAATTATGCGGGGGATCTTGACAAGCGCCGGTCTACTACAGGATATGTATTTATGTTGGCAGGAGCACTAGTGTGTTGGAAATACACACTTCAGTCTATAGTGACTCTCTCTACTACGGAGGCGAAGTATATGACGTTGACTGAAGCTGTAAAGGAGGCTTTGTGGTTGTAGGGGCTATTGGATGACTTGGGGATTGCACAGGATACCATCAGAGTATATTGTGATAGCATGTCAGCTATCTATTTGGTCAAGAACCAGGTGTATCGTGCCCGGACAAAGCACATTGATGTCAGATTCTATTTTTTTGAGACATCTTGGATGATGGAGACGTTAGATTAGAGAAGATCCACACAAAGGATAATCTGACAGATATGTTGACCAAAGTTGTCACTTGAGTAAAATTTGATCATTGTTTGGAATTGTAAAACATTCTTCATTGTTGAGGACCTTTGGAGGTCATTGGGTGAACTACGTGAAGGCTTGATTCATTGGGCAAGAGGATACATAGGCAGTCATTTATGATGCAGCCGATTTTGTGAGTAGCTATCACATTTGGAGAGTGGCCTCATTCTCATTTGGGTCTTGACTTGTTGTGGATTGAGTCCGTTGTCGTGAATTGTTTCACTTCGTACTGGACGCAACAAGTGAGATATTTGGTTTGGTTTGTGTCGGGTTAGTTTTTTAGAAAACTTCGCCGAGGTGGAGAATTGTAGGTTTGGCAAAGAAAAACGGACTTGAGATCGGAGCTCGACGGTGTCGCCTGGATCGGAGCTCGACGATGTCGCCTGTAGATGGGTCGAAGCTCTCCTGCGGAGCTTGCAGGCGAGGGCGTTTGGTAGGGAAGCTCGCTTGCAGTGTAATCGCGGGGTTCGCTTGTTGATGTCGCCCAATATCTCGCCTGTCGAGTTTGGATCTCGCTTGCGTGAAGAGGCGAGGCCAAGGAGGGATTTCGCCTGTTGGAGGTGAGCTGGGTTCGCTTGTAGGGAGTGTCGTGTTCACCTGCAGCTGTTGGGGATCTCGCCTGTTGAGATCCACCTGCGGAGCTGTGGTGGGATCTAGCTGGATCCCACCCGATTGAAGAGGCGTGCCTTAGGGTTTCCTTATAAAAGGGAAATCTTGTTCACAGGGTCTGTGTGCGATTTTTGGGAGTAGAGCACTAGCGGCACCCTCTCTCCGCTTCTCTTCTGCGATTGGAGCTCCTGTTGTCCCATTCTCATAAATTTGAGAAGAGGGTTGGTGTAATTAATTGGTGGGGCTCTGTATTTAAGAGTGAGAGAGTTTGAGCAGTGATTTAGATTAAATCACTTGCTATTTGTTTGAGAAATCTCAAGATTGAGATCTTCTATCTTATTTGTAATTTCTTATTATTAATAAGAAAGTATTGTGCCGCTCCCATGGACGTAGGCATATTTGTCGAACCACGTAAAATTTGTTGTCTTGCATTTGTGATACTTGTTTTGGTTGTTGATTAGTGTTCCAATCTCGTTTGTATTTGTATGCCTTTGGTTCCGCTGCGCACAATAGATTGTGAATCCACCTTGTGTAGGTTCAATTTCCATCATTCGCCCATCACATTATTTCAAATTAAAAAAAATCGATTTTCAAATTTCCAATTTACCATAATGAAGAAAAAACTGTCCCTAGCTATACCATCCATAGGAGGTGCGCTCAACTTGCACGCCTGTTAGATATACAGCTGTAACTCTATATTATGGTAAAGTGGTAGGATCCTATGACAAAGGAGAACACGATATTGTCTGATTTTCAAGTTTTGAGCATGAATAATTGTGTACGTACCTTCCACTGACTTTGATAACGTTTCAAGTTTTTTGACAGTGGATTTGTGCAGATCTTTGCCGGACCAGTTTGGTAGTATGATGAGGCTCATAACGAGGCAGACACTGAAGCCAATGCCGATGGTGTAGAGTCGCAGTCGTGCAAACCCAAGAGCGCTTGGCATCCGGTAGCTTGATGCTATGATTAGATTGAAAGTTACTAGAATGACTCCCATGCCATAATCGTAGTTGTCCTTTACGCACGGGAAGAATCTCAAGTATGTAGCCACAAACCCTACATAGACGGAGCAAAAATATGTACCTCAAATTCCTATTACACGCATCGTTAATTTATTGCAAGAGACTAGCACGTACTAGTCTGAAATAATGAATTTTGCTTTGGTCGTAAAGAGATGTTATTTAAAAACTATATAGTTGGTTAATATGACATGTACTTACTATAAATAACGAACTTTTGACAGTATATTTGGAATTGATTACCGATGTATCATTAGATTTATAGTTACAGTCCCTTTTTTTTGGCAAAAAAAGTATGTACGTACCTACGACAAAGACTGATGCTCCTATAAAAACAGCACGGAAAGCTCCCCCAGTGCTTGCGGTCATTTCTTGGACGACATATGCTAGCAAACCTCCAAAAATGGTCCCAACGCCTCGGTTCAGTCCCCTATAAAGAGTTGAACCTGAAGAAACCAATTGAATTTATAACGAAGATATATAAATCCGAGCCTGTACGTAGAAGATAATTAATTGCATGCATGATGATATTGCGTGTACGTTAGTGGCTCGATCACCTGCAGTGAATTCAAGCATCATAACCACCGTCATAATCGCCCAAATCGCGTTCTCCCCTATACCGTTGAACAACGGGTCCAAGAGATAGAGCAAGGAGACCACTGTGAAAGCCATGCCCACCTTCACAGCGTGAATGAATTTTCTAGGGTTTTCTCTGCCCATCCTCCACGCACTTTTGCACGCTGAAACAGAAAGCTCTCTTAGTCCTCCCATTTTCATGAAAAATTTATTCTCTTCAATTTTAGCCATCGCCAGTAAAGCGTAAGCCGTGAAGACATTATATGAAGCTACTGCCGCCTCTTGGTAGGGAAAAAAAACCAAAAAGAATGAAATGAGAAAATTAATATGTTGACTATTTAGATAAAGAGAAATTCTAGGGAGAAATTCTCTCTTCTCTTGTACACTTGAATATTATTAATGATATATAAATATAAAGAAAAGTCTTGAAAGCGGCACATATTATATATACCTGACGTTATCCTCTTGCTGCCGTATACTGAAAAGCTCCAGCTGTACTCGGTGAGAATTCTTTTATTTATTTATTTATTTGTTTTTCATTTTCTTTTTCTAATGAAAATTTAGCCCCGGATAGTTCATGAATACTTAAATGCCGAATTGTTCGTGGAACATATCTAACGGCAGGCTTGTGAGCTGGGTGTGGAACTAGAGTGGAATTGTAACCACAATTGAATGCAAGTGTGGGAAAATAGCGGCAATCAAACATTAATAACTAGTCTTAACATTTTCTATAAGCACATGAGGATGAAAAATAAGACTTTTCAGAAAATCGTGAAAAGTTATTAAATTTCAAAATAATCCAAAATATAGGAGAGAATACTTACAATTTAAAAAAATCCTAATATTTCAAAAAAAAAACCCTAATCTTAAAAATTATTAAAAACAAATAATCACCAAAAAGATTTACAAACATCAAAATAAACATTAGACAATTAAAAAAAACTCAAAATTTTTCTTGAGAAACTTGAAAGTACAAAATTTCCAGCTTCATAAGAAACATTAGTTGACACAACGTAGAAGTAAAATCTTGGAATCCAGAGAAGGCCTCTTTGAATCTACAAAGAATTTGGAAACCAAGAAGAATTATAAAAAAGTTAATATTATAAATCAAAATGTAATACTTCTAGGGTTTACAATCCTCTTCAAATAGGAAATATAATAGACTCTTAATAGAATAAAAATTAGCAAAAATATGAAGTATCAAAAAAAATATTTTGTAAAGACTCTCCATAACTAAGAAAAAACATCGGTCAAATTTGAGATAAAATCGTATTTGTTTTTGTAGAAACGGTGAAGAAGATCAGAAAATTTGGAGTGCACAGGACTAGTCACGGGTCGGTCGACCGAAGTGCATATGCCGGTAGACCGACAAACTCTGAAATTACAGGGTGAGAGACCCTGTCGCTGGCCGATTGACCGAACATACATGTCTGGTCGACCGAGAAGGTAAACGATTACAGGATTTGGATTACTGCGTCTGGCCGGTTGACCGATCATGTATGTGCGGTCGACCGAAGGTATGCTGAGTTACAAGGTGAGAGTTTGGGCTTCTGGCCGGTCGACCGGATGTTCATGTGCGGTCGACCGTGTAGCGGTTTTGGGACATGTTCATTTCCTGACCTATTTTGAATTCCTATTTGGTATAAATAGAAACATGACGTTTCTAGGATTAGGGGAGTTGAGATTTGAGCATTGTTTTGAGCACTTAGAAAGGGAGAATTTATGAGGGATTTGAGAGTTTTGTTTGAGGGTTATTTTTGTGAGATTATTGAGTGATTTAAACCATATTTATACTATTTCTCTCTATTAGTGAAATCTTCCCCCCCTCCTTGCCCCGTGGACGTAAGCACATTGCCGAACCACGTAAATTTTGATGTCTTGTTGTGTGGTGCTTTGTGCTTGGTTATTGATTTGTTCTCCTATCTTGTTCATGTCCTTCGATTTCGCTACGGACAACAAGTGGTATCAGAGTTAGGTTAGCTTGGGGTTCAATTTGGAGGAGAAAGCTAGGGCTTCTTACAAGAGGATTTGGTGTAGATTCTCGTTTGAAGATTGGATTGTCAACATGACCGAAGCAAGTACATCCGGATCATCCCTAACTAAGGCGATACAAGGTTTGAGTATTATTAATATAAAAATTAATGTTCAAAAATTTAATGGCAAGATAAATTTTGGTTTGTGGAGGTGTCAAGTGATGGATGAATTGGATGCTCAAAATTTAGAGGAGACTCTTGAATTACAAGAGAAACCCGATGATATGGAGGATAATGTTTGGAAGAAAATAAATAGTAGAGCATGTGGCCAGGTTATTAGATCGTGTTTGATGTTGGATTTGATTTATGATGTCATGAATGAAATATCAACGAAACGGTTGTGGGAAACAATCAATGACAAGTATTTAACGAAGAGCATTGAGAATCGGCTTCATTTAAAGAAGAGGTTTTACCAATTCAAAATAAAGAGGAGAGTTTCCATTAGAGAACATGTCAATAACTTCATGAAATTATTATCGAATATGGCTAATGTGGATATCATGGTAAAGGATGAAGACATGGCGATGTTGTTATTGTGTTCGTTGCCAGAGGATGATTATGGTACATTTGTCCTTACAATAATTAATGGTAGAATCACTGTTAGTTAGAAGGAGGTGACCTCAACATTGGTAAATTATAAGTTGAGGAAGAGTGATGAAGAACCCTCTGAGAAGGCATCGGGAGATGCATTGGCAGTGAGAGGCCATAGTCCCAAAACCCGCCCATTTAATCGCTCAAAATCAAAGCCAAGAGGTGGTCATAGAAGTATGGGTAGGAATCAATATGCTTTTTGCAAAGAGAATATACATTTAAAAAATAAATGCCCAAAGTTGAAAGATAGAATCGGGAAGAACAAAGAGAAAGTCGTTCAGACTTCAGAGGTGAATGTTGCCAAAGTTAGTGGTGACAATTTAGATTCAGATTCTTCAGGCTATTCATGTCCAACATTATCATCCGTTTGTTATGCAGACTCCACAGGGTGTATGTTGAATTCAGGTGCTACATACCACATTTGACCTAGAATGGATTGGTTCTCTAGTTTTGAGGAGTTAGAGAGAGAGAGAGTATATTATGTTAATGGGAAATGATCACGTATGTCCCATTGGTGGTATTGGAACAATTCAAATCAGGATGTGTGATAGTGTGACTAGGGAGTTGAAGGAAGTGAGATTCGTTCATCAATTGACGAAGAATATCATTTTATTTGGAACTTTGGAGGCATCAGGTTATAAGGTGATCGTGGAGAATGCAACTTTGAAGGTCATTAAGGGGTCCATGGTAGTGATGAGAGGTGTTAGGAAAAATAATCTTTACTACTTGAATGACAAGACAGTAACAGAGGGTCTAATAACTTCTATTACCACAGAGGAGGATACTACCCATCTATGGCACATGAGATTAGGACACACTGATGATAAGTCTCTACAGACATTGGTAAAGCATGGGCTATTGAAGGGTGCAAAGACCTGTAAGATGGAGTTGTGTGAACATTGCATACTTGGGAAGAAAACAAAAGTGAAATTCGGCATCGCCATTCATAACACCCAAGGTATATTAGATTACGTTCACATATATATTTGGGGTCCTTCCAAAAACACATCTCTTGGTGGGACTAATTATTTTATCACTTTCATTGATAATTATTCCAGAAGGAATTGGGTATATATCATGAAGCATAAACATGAAGTCCTGGATATCTTTGTGGAATGGAAAAAAAGTGGACCTGCAAACAGGTAGAAAGGTAAAATTACTCTGTTCTGATAATGATGGTAAGTACAAGAGTGATCTATTTTTATATTTTTGTCTGAATCACGATATTAGGTGACATTTAAAAATTAGGGAGCCGTCGCAACAAAACGGGATGGCCAAATAATTAAACCATACCTTGCTAGAGAAGGTGCATTGTATACTCTCACATAGTGGATTAGGTAGATCCTTTTGGACCGAGATGTTGGTTTATGTAAGACATCTCATAAATAGGTTGTCATGCACTGTGATACATGGAAAGACTCCTATGGAGGTATGGTCTGGTATAGTGGCTAGTGATTATGATTTGATTAGGATATTTCGGTGTCCAACTTAATATCATGTGAATGATGAGAAATTGAATCCGATGAAAAGAAAAGCAGTATTTATGGGTTTTAGAGATGGAGTTAAAGGCTTTAAGTTGTGGGATTTAGAAGATAAGAAAATAATCATTAGCAGAGATGTCACTTTTGATGATGCTCACATGATGAGGCATCAGGTCCCTCAGTAGGTGGAGGAAGGCTAAACTTGTGGGGTATCGCAGGAGGTGGAGGATAATGTGACTCCACAAACTTCAGATATCATTGTATCTATTGAGGCTCCTACAGAGATGATATTGGGAGGAGATATGATATATAGGCAGGTAGAGGATACAGTGAATATTAGGACTCAGAAACATGATCATGTTCAGGAGTCCATTGTGACTAATAGACCAAGAAGAATTATTTGTCGGCCAGCAAGATATGATGATGTGATGATTGCATTTGTTTTGTCAGTGGAGGTCATTGATAATTTAGTTCCTTCTACATATAAGGAAGCAGAGTCAAGCTCTGATTCAATCAGGTGGAGGAAAGCAATAGAGGAGGAGATGCATTCTCTTAAAAAGAATGACACTTGAAAACTTACAAAATTACCGAAGGGATGCAAGTGGGTATATGCAAAGAAAGAAGGATCTTCTAATGAAGACATTCGATACAAAGCTAGATTGGTTGCCAAATGGTATGCCTAACTTGAGGGTATTGATTACAACGAGGTATTCTTACTTGTTGTGAAGCATTCATCGATAATAATATTATTAGCATTGGTGGCAGAACTAAATTTGGATTTGATCCATATGGATGTGAAAACAGTCTTTCTACATGGAGATTTAGAAGAAAAGATCTATATGCCACAACCGATGAGTTTTAGAGCTGCAGGAAAGGAAGATTTGATATGTAAACTAAAGAAATCTCTTTATGGATTAAAGTAATCACCGCGATAATGGTACAAGAGGTTTGACAATTTCATAATTGGCAAAAGGTACACGAGGAGCCTATATGACCCATGTGTATACATGCACAAGCTACAGAATGGTGAGTATATTTATTTGTTGTTATATGTTAACGATATGCTTATTGCTTTCAAGAATACTTTAGCTATTAGGAAGTTAAAAAAGGAGTTGTCATCCGAATT